ATAACAGGTCTCGGATTTTAACGCGAAAGCCTTTCATCGATTTGGCTACATAAATTTCTGGCATTATAGCTGATATCAGTTCGTGATGAAAACCCCACATATAACTAAGGTAAATTACGACAATTATTGAGAACTGGATAATAAAAGCACCAGTCACACCAGCTACAGCCAGGTACTGCAATATATACGGATGATTGGAGAGCGTACAGACTCCTATATAGACTTGGTTATGTGCATCTTGTCGTTATCCACAAGTGACATTTTGTGCACTCAGCAACCGGAGTGCACATAAACAATATTGAAGCTATGTGATCGAGGTTGATAGAGTTTTTGAGACTTTATCATGACTCCAGAGACCGACTATTCTGTAGCCGTATGGATGATTTCCTCTACTGCATGCATTACGATTTTAGAATCTCTGAACCTCTTTCGAACCTTGACAAGTTTTTGAACCATGTAAACGTATTGTATTCACTTTATTTCCTTGGTTTTGTATAACATATTTTTACTCTATACTGACTGTTTACTGATTGGCTAATATTCCTCAAGGTCACTTAAAATTCGTTCAAAGGTCGTCCATAAATTAGAATCTTGCCATACCAGAATTCTGTTTAGCAAAATGGGTGAATGAACTTCGCGCCCAAAATACAAGACCTGTTGTCGTAAATCTGACTAGTTCGTCCATAAATTATAGTCTTGCCATTTTCTTGATATTAAGTATAATGAACAGTTATGTAATTCTTCTTTGTAATATCTCATTACTATATATAATTATGTGTGATTATAATTCGATTTAAACAAACAGAAAACAGGAAGATCTATTGTCATGTTTACAAAATTCAAAAATCAATAACTCGAACGTTTAAATGATTCAATGTATTACTTGCCATGGAAATTATGTTTTCTTTCATCAATTCCTAGTTTGATTAGTTATATACCGAGAAGTTTCTTAAATATCTCAAAAATGTGTGAATAACTGATATAGTTTACTTAGAAGCACTGGACGACTGTTTTGTCCTACTATGGGATGTGCACTGATGAGAATAGTTGAAGTTAGATATTAACATCATGGGATACCAGCCAAGTCAGTGGTGTTATCACTAAGTTATATACTGATAGGGGCAACAGGGTCAAAAGTTATAACAAAAATGTTGTTTTTTTTTATGTAATATCTATTTATTGTCAAAATGTTTCTATTTTTAAACTTAGTATAAATGACTGTTTGATTGTTCACTGAGTGATGATCAAATCATGTATTTCAGGTCCTTCTTAGTATAGATCGAATCCTACAGTCCTACAGGAATTCATTCACACCCTGGATAGCTCAGTGGCAACGTCTTTGACTGTGAAGCTGGGTGAAACGGGGTCGAATCCGTCAGGGAGCATCAATTCCCGTAGGATTATAGGTACACCATGCTGACGAATGCCAAGTAAAACGAAACCTAAATTCAGGGTATCCTGTTGACTACCTCCAACCACCTTCTAACTCCATAAAATATAGATTTGTTTGAAAACTTTTGAGTAGAACTAGACTATAATAGACGAACTTAAGGAACTCTAAAATAACCTTGTCAAGTTTTATCCATTTATTTTAGTCAGTTTGAAAGCAGATGACATAGATGAATAGTTTATTAAAAGAAAAGAAAATAGTTAGAATCTATATAATTATACTTTCTACATGATTGATGAAGTTGGGGTGGTTTACAAGTTGTTTATCTCTATTAAAGTCATACTACATGGTTATAAGAATGAACTCACTTGAGCTATAGCAACTATTCTACAATGAATTTCAGTTATGCTTAATTTTGGTCAAGCCCTTTTACTAACTTATTTGACAGACAATGTTATTCGAACAGTGACAATTCGTCTATTTCTTTGTACATTTTGTTATATTTGGTCGTTGCTGGTTGCTGTGCCGGAAAAACGCTGATCACTTATACTCGGAACGAGGGACCTCTGCAATTCCCATGATGCGAAAGTAAGAACACAAAGACTGGTATGAGTGAAGATTTATTAGCCCCAAAACACTATGACGACGACGACGAATGATGATGATAATAATGAATGAATCTTCATGTGGAATCAAAACGGATGTAATGTTGAATAAAACTCATAATGAGTAATTCAATTGGAAATTGACTTTTCTTTCCATCATATCATCTTTATTATCACTAGATCACATGAAAGACTAGCTAAAATGTTGGTTGTTTAAGTAATACCCGATGATTCATCCTACACCTCATGAATATATGTACTCAAACCCTATTAGTAGCCTTTGCTTTGCCTTGCTGTGCCCTTTCCGATTTGACTATAAATTTGCCTATGTATTTGCTCGTATATACGTATTCGCCTATCTGCTTTAAATTCACTTGATGTGCTTATAGTTTTGTGATCGTTGCTATCCGCTAGTAAGCTGTAGTTGTTGCTTTTTATTGCTTTCTGATTTTAAACATCGTCGAGATTTATATTATAACGGTTATCGATGTGGTTGATTAACGGAGAAATCTTTGAAGGAATGGCACAATTGTAAATAGTTTGTTAATCTTAACTAGATTGCCTCAACGTTATCAGTGTGTAAGTCTACTGTAGGGTGAAGGAAAAGCTGTTTATTGACCACAAGATACTGATTGTAACCAAATCTGAAAAGATATTTTTAAGCTCTTCACTCATCAGCATAATTAATTTGTCAAAGTTAGACATACTTTTTGATGATAAGTATCAGGGTTGAAAACTCCGCCTGCAGCTCTTCTAGAGTTACTGTCAGTCCCAAGCCCAGTTGAAGGAGGAGTGTTTGGCATGGGGTTAGCGACCCAATCCCATAGAAAACTTACTCGTTAAAAAACGCTAACTAGAAAAAATAATTCAAACTATTTAAACTGTACCCTTGGACTTAGAAGGTTTTCATTTAGAAGAGTTATGACGCCTCATAGTGAAAGCCGAGTTGTAAATTATAATCAAGGTTGAAAGTATTCGTTTTGCAAAGTCTTACCATAATTATCAGAAGCTTAGTTGTAGATTACCACACACCTATTTCCTCTTCTTAACAATAGTTCCAATGATTTCTGTTATTGTACAGATACCTGAAAGTGATAGATTTCAATTCGACAACACCTTCAAACATACATTTTGACAATACTAATATCATTGGACTGTTAATCAAGTATCTGGAAGTATTTCCAATACATCGATTACTCACTGATTAATAAACAACATGATCTGACTTAATATTGATTTCAAAGAAGCAAAAACAAATGGTGTTCATTTGTACGGATTTCTTTCGCTAATATATTACATCTTAAAACTAGATAACCATAAATAATTACAGTCATGAGTAATCTTAGATCTTTCAAATACTTAATTGTAACGTCATTACAAACATCTACAACTGAACAATAGAAAATAAGCTTTGATTAAAATTAAATATAAACAAAAAGCGTGAAATTACCGTTTCATCTTGTTGCCTTATGGCCTATTAGTATATAACGTAATGATACCGTCAATTAGAAAACAGTGATTTATCGACTTGACCAATGACGCATAAAACCCATACGAGCAGTCTACGGTACTTATCGGTCATGCTTCCTGCCTAGTCCTACCTGTTAAGTCCATAACACCAATCTCAGCCTCTGTGATATGAATCATTTATTTCAAACATACTGGGTTTAAATACAAACCAAACCGATCACATCACAACATAAAATAGAAACTAACATTTGTACAAGATATTAGCCAAAAGTGGTTGTGAATGTGGGAGATAGTAATTGATAGATTAGGCATAACTCATGAATAGTAAATCGTATAATAATAGTTCATAAGTCAGAATGAAGCGTATGATACGAAGAACATGAATATAAATAAGTTGATTGTTTATCAATTATAAACTAAAAGTATAAGTACAGTATTTGTCCATAAAAAGATCCTGACAGTTACCATTCATTATTCTTATCAGGATATAACACAATAATACCAAATATCAAATATTATTCATATCACTCATAATTCATTATACACTATTGTCAGTATCGGATAACAGATGTGAATTCAACAATTAGCTACAGAATTTACATTTTTACAATATGATCTATGAATAATGATTCCCTACTGATTCGACAGTCAATGTGATGAGTACACATTATTCTACAAGTTCTATACAAAAATAAAATGGCTATTTATTACTTCTAAGTTTTTCATAGTGGTCTAACTATGGTGTGTGCTACTTATATTGACATAAGTAGTAGATGATGTCAGTCGTGAAGAGAATGTCTGGCAGCAGAGAGACAAAAGGATCGAACAATAAAGAATGGAAACAGAATGCAATTAGTCTGAAAATGCAAGAACAATGAAGTCTGAGTCATTTTAAGACAGTTGGTGGACATTTTATAAATCAAGCATTTACTTTGTGATTGTTAGATTTTATTAACATGTCCTGTAGTTTTGTGTTAAATACATTCGATTGTCCCCATCGGTGTTCTTGTTCACTACATAACTTTAATCGACTCATTGAATTCAACGAGTAACAATTACTATAATCTCCAACAACAACAAAACCCCCACCTTTCCAAGAAATTTCTATATTTATCATTATAAAGTTTATTAGATGAATTAAAACACTATACATTAGTTCCTAAGGAGATTTTTTTAAAAATAATTCACATGTAATTGTTAAGTTTGTCTTACATTGTTCCTACTCGCCCCCTTTCCATTCTTTTGTATATTGTTTCATACTACTTATTCACATTCAGTACGTAGTTGTATTCCCAACAATTTTCAAACTTATGTTGTAAAGCAAGTTGTAATATAATATTCTGAAATGTTCAAATATATTTTTAACGTTTATTGTACTTATCATTGTATTTATCATTTTAGTTACTGTACCTTAATCTCTGTAGTGGTTATCCACAGTTTTGTGCATTTGTTTAAACGCAACACTTTCCATATTGTTCTGCTCTTGGTTCGTGTTTCAGTTGTTCGTAAACTGTTATCAAATATAGACACATCTATCAGCTGTCTTTTGTACTATCGAATCCTTTTTATTTTCACACTTGAAGGACGCGTTTGAAAATCACAGACACCTCACAAGTTGAGGTTTATTACTAAATTTTGTGTATTATTCAATAAAGAACTACAATTGTAGACAAATCGTTGTTTTGGAAACTTCAGTTTTGCGCGTATCTCAATTGGGTGAACTAGACCCTTCGATAGAACTAACAATAATAAATCTTAAATGAAATTTCAGAAGAAAAAAACACAAAAACAAAAAAACAATCCGAACATAATACATTTTTAATGAAAAAGTTTAATATTATTGATTTAGATAAACCCTTTTTAAGTAGCATATTAGATATGTCACGTTAAAAAAAAGAATGATTTGTATATCTCATCGAATTATGCATCTTTACACTGATTTTTTTTCTTTTTTCTTTTTATCGTATTGTTTGTTGTTGTTGTTCTCTTTGTTTTGTTGTTGTTGTTGTTGGTGGTGGTGGTGGTGGTGGTGGCGGTGTTGCTACAAGTGTATAATCTCAATGATAAATACAAAAAAAACAATGATTAAGCATAAACAGATTAGTTTCTAGAAAATAAAACAGCAACAACAACAACAACAAAAAAGGACGAAAAACAAACCGGTTTTTCTTTTTCTTTCTTTTTTACTCTTGTCAAAATATGACGAAAAAAAAGAAACATTTTTCTCATCGAATTTACTTTAAAAAAAAAGATTCTTTAATATTTGAATGATGATGACATTGAATTGATCATAGTTTATAGGATTATTTGAATTGGTTACCTGGTTGAACACATTTGGATTACCGGTTTCTTCCATGTAGATATTTCAATAAATTATCTTTTGTTTGTTTGTTTGTTATAACACATCATGATTGTCAATGGATTATATAACCCTATGGAAGTGTAGTTGTCAACAAACATTTACAACATTTCACTGTACAAGTTATAAAAAACAGTTCAATGAGAGAGATTATAATGACTGACAAATATGTATAATCTATTCATTAGATGAGTTAATAAATAGTTCACAACCTTCTATTATACAAATTAGGAAAGAGTCAAATTAAAAAACATTGTGGTTATTGACAAAAATACCCATCGAAAAGACTATACATTAATGAGATATCAACTCCTGAATTGACAACATCTAATTAATGACCCATTCAATATTCATCGTGAAGATCAATGAAGACGTAAAAAATAAAGAAAACTTGTTGAAATACATTGTGCTGAAGATTATTCTAGATTGTACCATACATCATGGATTGTAATCTATAAATGTTGGGGGGTAGGGTGTACGGAAGGGGGATTGAAATTTGTTTTAATGAATAAAGGTAAAAATAATGTTTTCATAAGTTTACATTTTTCATTGATTGTTTTATGAATGAATTTGGTTTTATTAAGTGAGTATTTTGATATGGATGAAGAGAATTTGTTATTTTTAATGAATCCAATATCATTGGTTTTGATGATGGGGGTGGTGGTGGTGTTATTGTTGCCATGGTTGTTGTTGTTTGAAGTAATTGACTAGTTGTAACTATCTAGAAAATAATAAAAAAAATAGAATAAATGAATAAAATAATTAAATAAATAATTTTGAATAATTGAATTCATAAGTCAATTTAAACAAGATGACTAAATTGTATCACAAGTCAAGTGCTAATTTGATATTTTGAAAGAGGGGGGGGGAAAGAAAAGAGAAAGGTTGAAGAACAGATTGTATCGAAAAATTGGAAGCATACATGAAAAGGATGAATAGTCACTTGAAATTATTATCGTTCTTATAAGCTAATAACAAAGACAGAAACAATTGAAGAATATATGGAACTCAAAACAATTGTTAACCATACAAACTTCATGACAGTTCTACTACTGTACGAAGCTGAAACTTCGAGAACTACCACAACCATTATGAAGAAATTGCAAGTATTTATAAACAATTATCTATGCAAGATACTCAACATTCATTGGCCGGATACCGTTGGTAACAGCCTACTGTTGAAGAGAGCAAACGAGCTTCCAGCTAAAGAGGAAATTAGGAAAAAACGTTGGAAGTGGATAAGACATATATTAAGAAAATCATTAAACTTCATCATGAGGCAAGCGTTAATTTGAAATTTTGAAGGAAAACAAAAAAGTGTAAGGTCAAAGAACATACTGTACCGAGAATTGGAAGCAGATATAGAATGGATGAATAACAACCAGAAGCGACTGAAAACGTTTACCCAGAACAGAGTTAAACGCAGAATGGTGATGGGTGCCTATGCTAATCCACGAGGGGTAGCAGGCATTATTAAGTAAGTATGTATGTATGTAAGATAAACGAATATGGGTAGCATAAATAAAAGAATGAAAAATTCCGTTCACCTAAAAAGACATTATCATCATTCAAAAAATGGATTTATTTCACCGTCTTCATTATCTTCTTTGACTATTATTGGAAAAATAATAAGTCCTGTTTGTTGTTTTTTTGCAGGGGGGAATTTTATTATCGAACAAAAAAGATAAATTATATGGTTCATCATTCCTATTTCAAATGAGGGACTATAATCTGTATTGGCTCATGATCTCAACCACTAAAATTACTATAATATCCACAAAACCCCTTCTGATATTAACCATCATACGCTAACAAGTGACTGGCTTCAAGAGATATATCCTGAAGTTCCAGTGGAGTCCAACCGGATCTCTTGTGAGATAATAACTCATCCAAGACAATGGTGGATGTGTCGCTCAATTTCGTGGATCATTTGAAGTTAAACATTAACACCGTTAGATACCAGCTGACTCAGTGTGATAGGACCTAAGTTCGAATCTCACAAGGCGGGATTTCTGATGCACACTGCTGAGGAGTTCCACGGTAGGACGAAACGGCCGTCCATTGCTTCTAGGCTTTTCATGTTGGTCTAGCTTCAATTGACCCATGATCTCAATCATTAAAAATTACCATAATATTCACAAAACACCTTCTGATACTAGTATTCTGTTCTATCTGTAATTTGTGAAAAAAAATCGGCGAGACTATAATTTATGGACGAACCAATCACGTATAAGTTAACAGGTCTCGGGATTCGGCGCGATATTCACTCATCCATTTGGCAAAAGAGAGATTTGGCATTATAGCTGATATCAGTTGGTGATAAAAGCCCTAAATATAATTCCTAACCCTAACCGTCAAACTGTGAATCACAATTTGAAGTCCATTTACAGGTTTATAACTTTCATTTAGTTCTAGTTATTAGGTGGACACTATCAAAGCCATTCCAGAGTCGTTCAAATATCCTGCATAAATCATAATCTCAACGCTTGTTGTTATGGGTTAATTGAATTTTTAAATAGCATCTAATAATGAAATCATAAATGACAGTTTTATTTGACATTTTAGCTATTCACTTTTTACATTCTCATTAGCCCTCGTGGTCTGATGTATGACGAAATCTCAGCACGGATACAGAAAGCTCGACTAGCTTTTGCCAAATCGCGAAATATCCGTCTACCAATTGAAAGGAGTCACTGCGCAGCAGTTTGTTCAGTTCTACTTTATGGCAGTGAAACATGGCCGGTAAGAGTAGAGGATATTCGTAGGTTACTAGTGTTTGTTCATAGGTATCTTCGAAGCATTGTTCTCATATCCTGGGATCACTGAGTAAGTAATGCAGTTGTTAGGAAACGGGTACTAGGTAAGGATGGCAAATCAGTTGTTGAAATGGTGAAACTTCATCAGTTGAAATAGCTGGGACACGTGTTACGTATGTCCAACTACCAACTGCTCCCACAAGCGATGTTTTATGGTGTAAGATAGTGTAGGTTGGAAGAAAGCTAAGGGCGGCCAGATCAAAACATGGCACAAGTCCATGAAGTCACTGACAGGTGGACTGAGCCATGTTGGTAGGTGTAGACTACCTGATTGGAGACCGCGAGATGATAGCAACCGATGGTTAGAGACCCTGAATGACTTGCCTCAAATTCTTTTGCAATCGCGCAAATGCATCTACTCTTTGTGTTCTCCCAAATTCTAATCTTCTGACTTCTTCATGTCCCTTTTTTTCTCTTTCCGAATTTATTTCACTAGATTATACTCCTTGAATAACATCTTCAAACCCTAATCCTTTCAGATTACTGCTTATACTATTACTACCTCTACCACTATAGGATTAGAACTGACAACTGCATCTCTGTGCTAATGTGATATGGCAACTTGAACTGATGTACGTACGTACGAAGTTCTAGGTTGTTACTGACTGACTGACTCTAACTGATTGATTGAATATATTATAATAGTTTATATTCTTAATCATAAAATTGATTATTCATATTCATACTTGATGATTTATTGAAGAAGAATTATTATTTGATCCATTACAAATGATCATTGATTTAATTTTGTTATTCCAATGTGTATCTAAGTTATTTTTTGTCAAGTTGAATCTTGTCAAATGTGTTTGATCTTTAGATTGTTCATGATGATGATGATCATGATCATGATCATCATGATCATGATTATGAATAGCACTTAATGAAATGATACGATTATGAAGTTGTTTAGTAGGTAAACGTTGATCGGATTGATCAGTAATATAAAGTGTATTATTATTATGATTATGAGTGATTACTGTATGCACTTGATGATGTTGTCCATTTGCTTTTAATGAACCATGATTATTCAATGGAACTAATTCTGTTTGATATCGTTTTATGGATAAATTTTCATGATTGTTCAATAGTGAAGGATTTGTTAAAGTATGTTGTTTTAATGATGTTTGATATAGATTAGGCTAAAAAATTAAATAGGAAATAATAATGATTACAATTGTTTACATGATTACATAATATATTTATAGAATAGATCCAATGTTCATCTTGTTGTTTGTTCTAATGAGGTATGATAACTTGGACTGATGCATATATATATATATGTACCTAGTCTTATGTTGTAGCTGACTGATTGACTGACTGACTGATAGTATAGATGAATCACGATGACTACTACTTTGAAGCTTTAAACTTCGAAGTAATCCACACTGAAGTTGTTACCAAGACTTAGTTGAGGATATTCACATCTCATTATTATAAGTCATAATTTATTGATTCACGTTTTTAGTTTCTGTTAACTGTAAAATTACAAAGTCCATATTGTTGAAGATTATATAGAAGATCACGTGCACTTGAGTTTGTTTACATATAATTTGGTTAAGCCCTTTTGTTAACTCCTCCTGTAGCTCTTCCAGGGTTACTGTCGGTTCCAAGCCCATGCAAAGGAGAATGGCTGGGCATGGGGTTAGCGACTCCATCTTGTAGAAAACTAACTCGCTAAAAAACGCTAACCAGAAAAATTAATTCCAACCTTTTGTTAACTGATTTAACGTACAGAGTCATTCGTACAATAACAACCTATCCATACAATTGTACCTTTATTATTGTTGCGCTTGTATGAATATGCATGCTTGAGCATTGCTTACTGACTATGTATATATTCATTCTGCCAGCTTCAATGTTATTCGCTCAAATCGTTCGATGGTTCATTCAATTCCCTATATATAAATACATATACTCTTTCATGCTATAATAAACGTAATCAACACTTCGTATTCGCTTTCTGATTACTACACCGTTGTACATGATGAAGTACAACTAAAGGTTTTATATTGAAAAATTGTTAAACTAATCTTTCAAACCTATGAATAATTCGTTTTCTAATTCCCCATCCCCTTCACCATCATCAAGTATACAATTTAATTGAATTAGGCACAGATTGAGGTTAATTAAGTAACCATTGAAAACCATAAGGAATTGAATAGATATTTCGTCCTAGTGCTCATCAACCACCCCAAAAAAAAACAAGTATTTCAGATAGCCTCTAATAGGTTATACTACTAACTTCAATCTATTCACAGTAATCTTTATATAATCATTACCGGTACTATTGTATGTTATTCAAACTGATTTAGGTAAAATATAACCGGATATGTTTCAATCATCAATTCGCTATATCATTTTCATTTAGTTTTTTTCCCTACTTTTTTTCTATTCTAACTTACATCTAAATCATTTTCATCTTTTGTTGTCTTTTGATAATGATAATCATTATTTAATTGATTAATTGATTGATTATTATAATTATACTTAGATCTATTATGATCTGATGAATGTCTTCGATAATTGTGCTGCTGTTGCTGTGGTTGTTGTTGTTGTTGTGGTGGTGGTGGTGGTTGTTGTTGCTGTGGTGGTGGTTGTTGTTGCTGTGGCTGATTGTTATGAAATTTAGCTTTAAGATTATTTAATGATGTAGATATTTTTGATTGAAACATTGAATTTTGAATATCGGTTGAACCTTGAATAATTTTTAATTTTTGGTTAATATTCAATAAAGATAATGATTGATAATTAGATTGATTATTATTATTATTTCTCTGTTGAATAATGAAAAAAAAAGAAGTAATTGAACTGTTTTAATGTTTTGATAGATAATAAAATCTCAATAGTTGAGATCATGAGTCGATTGAAGTTAGACTATCATGAAAAACCTGGAACCAATGAGATGATCGTTTCATTCTATCGTGGGTCTCCTCAGCAGTGTGTATCCACGATTCGGCATGCAACGGTGTTAATGTCTGACTTCAACTAATCCACGAAATTGAGCGACATATCCACCATGATCTTCATCAGTGGATTACTATCTCACAACTGACCCAGTTGAACTCCCCTGGTCACTGTTTCTTACTAGAACTCTAGGAAATGCCTCTTGAAGACAGTCACTAGTGAGCATATGTCGATTAATATCAAATACAGAATTGTTATATCCGGACGAAGAATTAGGTGAATAGTAACCGCTAGGATCTATTTGTGAATTATTATTGTACGTGTCGTTCGATTTCGTGGATTAGTTAAAGTTAGACATTAACACCGTTGGATATTAATCAGCTCAATGGTTTAAAGGTTAGGCGTCCGCCCATGAGAGCGACTGGTCCTGGGTTCAAATGTTCGCGAGGTGGGATCGTGGATGCGCACTGCTAAGGAGTCCCACAATGGGATGAAACTGCCGTCCAGTGCTTACAGGTTTTCTATGATGGTCTAGCTTCAATCGATTCATGATCTCAACTATTAAAGTTACTATAACATTCACAAAATCCCCTTCTGTACGTATATTCTTATTGGATAACTATTAAGTAACTATATTATATGTATATTTTTAGTGGCCCAGGGTCTGGGGCTCCAGGTAGATGTATGAATGATTGCTTTCTAGATATATACATATCATCAATCCATGTATATAATCGTTGACTGAACTCGAATTAGTGTATAACGAGTTTTAGTGAGAAGTCGTGACCAGTGGAGCTATTCTGTGTTAGGTAGAGACAGGTATCTACCTCAGTACAATGGGAGATCGTCGCGCAATTTTATGGATTGGTTGAAGTTAGATATTGACATCGTTCGATACCGTTCATCTCACTGGTCTAGAGTTTAGGTGTTCTCGTGCGAGACCGAGGGCCCTGGGTTCGAATCCCGCAAGTGGGACCTTGGGTGCGCACTGCCCCACAATGGGACAAAACGTTCATCCACTCCTTTCAGGTTCTTAATGGTGATTTGACATCAATCGGTTCATGATCTCAATCAAGAAATTAAAAAAGTTAAATACAAGGACGGATTTTGAATACGTATGTTTTGTACAATCGTTGATCGGTAAAGACCATGAGAGAAACGTAGCGAAGGAAGTGAAGAAGAGGTGAGAAAAGCGAAACTAAATGTCTCACAATGAAGAAAATATGTGAGTTAACTCGATTTAATCACAAGAGAATTGATATTTATAGTTAGAACAAAAATAAGTTACAGATATGTGATGAGTAAGATGAGAAGTGTACACACATATACGTTCATATAAAAACAATCAAGATTGATAAGTGAATAGTTAACAAGATCAAAACATAACTCAAGAAGAATGGATTAATTGGCCTATCCAGAATCTAGAATAAGCCATATGGGCTTAACATTGTAACCGAAATTATCTGACCTATTGACTATTCTTACACGATTTATTATTCTTAAGTTATTCCTAATCTATTAGTAACAGTTTCCAACACTCATAGCCAAGTTTTGACTTGATCTTGTGTAATAATTATTCTTTGTATTATGGTATGATACGATCTGGTTTCTTTGTATATAAACCCAATGTGTCGTACTGAGGAGGCTGTGATGTTAGCGTTGTAGTCTGGATTGGCTGAGTTAGTAGAGAAGTTACTATCTCAGAGAACAAATAGGAACTCTAAGCTGCTTGTACTAATTTATACGTCATTAATCTGGTCGTTTAAGTTAATGACTAGTTAGAGAAGAGATGTGATTAAATGTTAACTAACATCATAATTTGTTCAGGAGGTAATTTGAACAGATTAAATTAGATCTAAGAAAATAATTTTATTGCTAATACAAATGTCAAAACAGTTCTACTGTATGGAGCGGAAACCTGGAGAACTACGAAAGTCATCATCCAGAAGATACTAGTGTTTATTAACAGTTTTCTACGCAAATGACTTCAGATCCGTTGGCCGGACACTATTAGCAACAATCAACTGTGGGAGAGAACAGACCAGATTCCAGTGGAGGAAGAAATCAGTAAGAAACGTTGGAAGTAGATAGGACACACATTTAAGAAATCACCCATCTACGTCACAAGGCAAGCCCTCAAATGGAATCTTCAAGGTCAAAGGAGGAGGAGTGGAAGACCAAAGAACACATTACACCGAGAAATGGAGATAGACATGAGAACAATGAACAACAATTGGATAGAACTAGAAAAGAAGATTCAGGACAGAGTGTGTTAGAGAATGGTGGTCGGCGGCCTATGCTTCATTGGGAGTAACAGGCTTAAGTAAGTAAGTAATATATTCATCAAGAAGTAAGTGAAATTTCTATTTATTCTTTAGAGTATATATATTAATAGGCAAAGATGGATAGTGACTAGTAGTGGAATTCAGGAAGCACATGTCGTCTTATTTAAGACTTATCAATTAGATGTACTTATATCTCAGAGTTGTTGTTCACACCATGACTCGAACTCAGTACCGTTTCGTTCCAAACTCCACCGTATTATCCATTTAGCTACTGAGTTCAGATAAACTCTAATTATTAATACTTATGCTTTAACACAATATCATGATAATCCGAATAAGATGCCTATATTTATCAATAAGACAATGGTCATACAATCATTACAAAAAAATGTATCCAAAACTTTAATTTACTCTATTTTGCTGAAGATTAGGAAAATATTGATTTGTTAAAGAGGTTTCATCAATTGATTGTTTTATTGAATTTGTATCATTGATTATAGTTTCTTTATTATTTCTATGACTATTATAACTGTGATTACGTGTTATTTCATTGACTGATTTATATGAAATAGCTAAAAAGGGATGAATTAAAAAGAAAAAGAATATTTTGTTAAATTATTGACTTATTGATTTGAAGAAGTGACATAGTTCGGAAGGATCCTTATCATCAGTCTTTATTATTCTCATTAAGGTAACGTTGAATTTGAAGTTTTCCATATTAAGTACAAGTCAGTTATACAACTGCAAACATAGTAGTAACAGACATAGCAACAAGACATGACTGCTGAGGAGTCCCACAATAGGACGAAACGGCCGTCTAATGCTTCCAGGTTTTCCATGGTGGTCTAGCTTCAATTGACTCACGACATGATTACTCAAAAACTCAACAATCGGAGGTTTCCTTTACGGATTCATGTATTTTTTGAGTAAGATCATGTGTCAATCAAAGCTAAGTCACCATGAAAAACCTGGAAGCATTGGATGACTGTTTCGTCCTATTGTAGGTCTCCTCATTAGTAGGAATGATTCAGTAAAATTGATTTGTGATCATAAATATAACTGAATAGAATAACTTACTATTATTATATGATTTTACAACGCCTGTAGTTTCATGAATGATTAAATACAATCAATAGTCATTTTATTGAAGTTAGATTTTAGTATCCCTGGAATATCTGAATCCAATATAATCTCATTATGATTTTTATTGAAAGACACATATCGTTAATCATCATATTTAATCATTGACTTAACTCACGTTAGTGAATAACGGAACTAATTCAACTACGAGAATGAAGTTTTGAATACATACATTTTGTACAATCATTAATCAGAATAGAAAATTAGGGAGGCGGATTGAGTGAAGCAAAGAGGATAGAGTGAAGTGAAATGAATTGGAGAAGGCATGTTAGCTAACTTACTTTAATTAAGTGTTATTCAATATTGACAGTAAAATTGAATCAAGTCGCAGCGAGGTAAGGCAAAGACTGAGCAAGACGAAACGAAGTAAAGCAAAAACTAAGCAAGGCGCATTGAGGTAAGGCAAAGCGATGCGAGGCGAATAATTAACAAGGTTAGAAGTGACTCAAAAAAGATGAATACATTGGTCTGTCAGAAAGCTTGAATAAGCTATGTGGGCATGACATGGCAAACGATACTACAAGATAGATTAAATCAGCTAACGGAAAATATTAGGAGTAGTTTTCATGCCTGTTGAGAAGCGTCTATGAGTTAAATCAATTATTTTTTTAGAAACTGATACTTTCTCTGGAATTTCAATGCAGATTAACTTGCTTCACAGTTTAAGACGCTTTGTCCGACTTATTCAAGTAGTGAGTGGTCGTTTGTGCGACTAAAATATTCACACTGATTAGTTAGCAGAGACTAACATTACGTTTATCTAGTTGGTCGGTAGCACTCGATAAACAATAAGAACTTTGCTTGATTGAACATTTTGAAACTTGTTAAGGAATTAGAACCATTTAACTATTGTAAAAAATCTTCATCTCTCCAAATGTAAAAGTGTTGAAAATATACATATTCAGTTTTGTAAAAATCAATTCCTTCTTAAAAGATGTTTCCATAATTTGATAGAAGTAAAGCATAAAACTGCTAGGTTTGAAGCTATCACGAGTTCACTTAATCTGCGAACAAGAAACAAGACTCAGAGACTAAAGACCAGTAGGCTAGTCAGTCAGCTACAACGTAGGACCAGGCACATATGTGCATCGGTCGAGGTTGCCATACCGCATCAGCACAACAAGATGAACACCGGATTCACAGCAGTGGTTAGGTCAAAGGTGGTAATATATAAGAGAAAGATTGCATATAGAGATATAGTACAAGAAGAAAGAATTGGTTCGTAGAAAGAAAGATATGAAGTGATTTTAATCTCTTAGTTTAAGGGAAGACAGGGAGTGTATACACCGACGCCATTGTGATCGATTCTGAGCCATGTCACCAAGAGTCTCCAACCATTGGTTACGAAAGTCACGCGGACCCCAACCAAGTAGTCTGCATCTACCAACATGGCTCAGACTAGAAGTTAGTGACTTCAAGCACTGATGCCACGTTTTGGTTTGGCCGCCCCTAACTTTCTTCCAACCATCTCCAATACCGGATAGCATTGCACGTCGTGGTAGTCGGTGTTCAGGCATACGTAACACGTGGCCCAACCATCTCGGTCGATGTACATTCATCAACCGATTTACCATCATTTCCTAATACTCTGCGTCTAACCTCACTATTACTTACCCTGTGATCCCAGTAGGCTAGCTATTGATGCGTCCCAGCCCCGTTAACTAGAGGGAGAATTCCAAGCTTGGAATGAAGAAGTATATTCTTCAAGCAGTCAGAAACGAGTGATTACAACAAACCCAATTTAAAACGTATATATACGGTACAAAACTGTCCTTTGATAGAGTTATCAAATAGCATACTAAAAGACTCAAAGGATTAATAGCATTTAAGATATTTCCCAGTGGGAAATACGACATGAAGGTGACAAGAGCGCCTTTGGCGCTGAAAAAAGAAACTCAAATTTTCTAAATGAAATTACAAGCTTAGGTTCTTTCCCAAGTGAATTCTGGTGATTTAACGTCCCCAACAAACTATATTTAATAGTTGAATTCATAAGTCAATTCAAGCTAGACTATCATAGAAAATCTGGAAGCATTGAACGGCCGTTTCATCCTAGTATGAGACTCCTCAGCAGCGTGCACCCACGATCCCGTCCTCGCGAGATTCGAACCCATCATTCATTACGGATCGACTCTTATCATATATATATATATATATATATATATATATATATATATATATATATATATATATATATATCAATGAAAACGTAACGAAATAAAACGTCCTATCAACTTCATTATCAACATATGAATATTCACTAATTTTTACTACTATTTTAAGAACACAATTTGTATTGTTTTCTTGTTTCAATACCCAATATCTTTCTAACGGCCTAGTGAAAATCATGTGGTTTATTTGAGCTCATTTAGTGTTACAGTATGGTTCTTAGAAGTTATGAACTGTTTCAAATATCATTTTCAAGCTTATTGAAGAAGATATGTAAAGTTATAATTGTAATGATAATTGTTTTCAAATGATGAAAAGTCTTGGAAGAAAATAATTCCATTCCCTATCGGATGACACAAACCCATGAAGTCACTGACAAGTAGGCTGAGATATGATGGTAGATGTAGACTATGTGGTTGGGATCCGCGAGACGATAGCAACCGATAGTTAAAGACCTTGAATGACATCGCTAAAAATCGTTTGCAATGATGCAGAAACATCCATTCTTTGTGTTCTCCCAAATTCTAATCTTCTGAATTCTTCATGTCCCTTTTTGCCTATACTTTTACTACCTCTACCGCTATGGGATTTGAATGGAAAAATGTGTCTTTGTGCTAATGTGGTATGGAAACTTGAACTGATGTATGTACATACGAAGTTCTATGTTGTTGCTGATTGACTGAATGCTTTATTGTTTATACTTTGTTCAGTAAGTTACTTTTTATTAAGTAATAAAATGATGAATAAAAGAGATTTGATCAAATACATTTCATTGAATTTACTATTACGCTACAGATTTTAAAAATATTGGTTTTAAAGGGGTTTTTCCAGATGTATTGGTGCAACATCCCTGAACATATTTAAATTAGTTTTGTTAATTTTTGTGCTACTTATATCTGTTTAAGTAGTAACGCAAATGAAACTAAACTTACGTTCAATTATAGTTTCGTTAATATTATTAGAGATATTATTTGTTGACTGTACAACATTTGGTGGTAATTCAATAATAGATGATGAAACTTTTGAAATTCCATTCTTATACTCATTTGGATTAGTTTTATGTGTACTAATGTCAGTTTTACCATTTAATAAATTTTCTTGAATATTTGATGTTGAACAATGTTTTTCATTGTATAAGAAACAATGGCTAGAATTATTAGAATTATTCTTACAATATTCATATCTATCATTTGTTCCTTGAAGATAATCATACTCATGATCTAAGGGTAAATTTTCTGGTTGAGATGATATATGACGATTTTCATGTAGTTGTGAATAATTCAAATCAACAATTCTTTGTGAATTTACCTAAATTAGTAAAATACAAAAGAGCAGTTATTAGTCGAGCTAAAGATGAAATGTAAACAACCAATTGACAGTTAACACTGTTGAATCCCGACCGAAGGTTCTGGGTTCGAATCCCACAAATGGATTCATAGATGCACACTGTTTAGGAGTCCCATACTAAGACAAAACGGCCGTTCATTGCTTCCAGGTCTTTAGTGGTGATCTGGCTTGTATCAACGAATTATCTTAGTTATGCAACCAATGATAATAGAACTCACCCTTGTGTGAGACCTCTAAAGAACAGTTATTCACGGCTGATTGTAATCAATCAGTATAGTGAAGATTTAGTTCATTTGGTTTTATACCAGTTGCTAACTATTAAGCTTATTCGAAACATCAAAACTCATTATCTCTTATCGATTTGAAAAACAATACCGGTTAGATATTCCATGAAAATTATGCTAATTGTAAGATAATAAGGTTCACAGTTCCTTAAATCCTAATTAGATTCATTTCATTGGTAGTAATACTAGGAACAGGATTAAATATATGCAAGAATATGTGATTTATCTAACAAATACAGAAAATATTTTGATCATCTGAATTTGTCTCTCAGGCAACATTAGGACTACGATTAGTGTTTTCTATGCTCTCAATGGTAACATCGAGGCTAAAAGATGAATTACCTAGAATGACCACCTCATTTTGTATTTGTCAATTAAACTACTTTTGTGGAACAAGTCAAATTGGTCGAAATTCTAGGAATTTACATTTTCGTTCTCGTGAATACCTCCCAGTGTGATTAATTTAAGGTCTAGTGAAACAAGTGAACAACTGAATATTGATCCATTTAGTACAAACTGGTCATAGTGCTAGTATGAACCAGTCCTTTATTGAGTCAGTAAATGTTTTTTCCAAAGGTTGTCAGATAACTGAAGCAGTAACCATCCAGATGAAGAAACCGGAGCTATACATTCAAAAAAGAAATATCTTGAGCCACTTTTTCTTCACCTGATCAAAAACTTCAAGTCCAATTAATCAATAATAATCTTAGCTATTTCATTTAAACTATTCAGGAAGATATGTTACTTAGACTTAGGAAAGAGTTTCATAAAGTTTCATGGTGAATGTAAATGAATATTTTCATTTTTCAATCATTTAACAACTTACATTAATGAAGAGTATTCAAAAGTTTAATGCTTGACTACATATAGTTGGCTTACCCACCATCTCCACTGAGCGTCGTTTCGCTTCTCTCTATTCCATTCGCTCCATATACAAAATATATGTATTCAAAAGTCCATTCTCATTATTTGACTGATTTAATCTCATTATTGACTAACGCGATTGAAATCGATGATTACATTGTTAGGACCCAAGAAACACAATGAATGAATCCTTTTATGGACCAATACTAAACGTATATTTCTACTGTATAATTACTAAGTAACTAAACTATTCATATTCATGTCCCTCTTATCATGAGTTTTATTTTAACCTATAAACTGTTATTATACGTTTTACCATTCTTGAGTTATAACCAGTTTATTGATTACTACCTCCCACATTAACAGCTATAACTGGCTGATTCTTGTACAAAAGTTGTTTTATATTTTACTGATACGTTGTGGTCTGTCTGATTGGTAGTATATAAACCCCGTATGTTTGAACTAAATGATTCGTATTGCAGAGGTTGAGACTTGTGTTCTGGACTTAACTGACTGGGCTAGTCAGGAAGCAGGGTCAATCAAAACTCTAGGCTGCTCGCACGTGTTTTACGCGTCTTTGATCCGATCGATGAGTCACTGCTCTTTAATCGGCAGTCGCAAGTTATAACATACATACGAGGATAGGCGACATATATATATTTCAATAACAATCACTCATTACGATCACCTTAAAGTCAGATCTTGGGCTAATCAATTGGAGAGCTCATCAACAAACATCATCTAATCTAAATGACAACAAAACAAAGGGCTCCCACTAAATTATCATTAAACAAACATTAAACATAAACACTTACCATAACATTTTCAAATGAATTACTATAATTAGGTAATAATGAATAATGATCTGTTCCATTAGCAGTAAAATAATAATAATAATTTGATGTTTTCATTCGTGATTTGGAACTGGAATTTAAACTGGAACTATTTGAATGTTTTTGTTTATAATGGTTACTATGACTACTACCACTACGATTACTACTACTATTATTATCATTATTATTATTATTATATTGATTTAATCGACTATATGATTGTTGATTTGTCATTGTAGTTGATTTAATAATATCTGATTTGGATATCAATTGATTTGGATAACATAATGGAGTAATGGTTAAATATCTAAAACAAAAAAAATTGTGAAATGTAAAAAGGTACTATTATGTAATCATTTGTAATACTTGGAAATATATTGAAGTTGATTATTATTATTATTAAATCATAACTTTAGATAGATCATTATAGAAAACAAAACAAACGAAGCACTGGACAATGGTTTCATTCTATCAGTGCTACTACTGATTCGGCGGCTAGACTCTAATTTATGAACGAGCCAATCAGAAGCGTTTGAGCGATTTCAAGGTCACGGAGCCATGTTCAACACTTGATGCTCAGATACGATCGTTTTACAGCGGATTTTAGAGAAGAGGTGATTATTGAGCGGCTACAAGAGATGATATTTCTAGGAAGTTCCTGTACCTGTGACTGCGGTTATCAAATGACTGCAGTAAAGTGTGCAGACTATCGTGATGAGATTGTAGTTCGTTTTGCTTTATGTTGAAGGAAAACGTCTGCTCGAACGGGGACTTTCTTTGCTCGATCGCGACTGAAACTGAGGCAAATCATGATAATAGTTGCAAATTGGATAATAAGGACACCAGTAACACTGGCTGTGGCGTTCACAGATGTTACTGAAACTTCAGCCGTCCAGTGGTATGAGTATTGTCGTGACATATGTTCACTTAAAATGACACATCTACAACAATCATTCGGAAGAGTAGGAAGTATTGTGGAAATAGATGAAACAGTAGTGAAAAAGCGAAAATGCAACAGGGGACGTAGTATCAAGGAAGATTGGGTAAGTAGCACTTCTGTAAATATACTTGACAGGTACTTGGAATTTATGATCGATCAACGCAAAAAGGGGAATTTTCAGAGGGTCAAAAACCGGCAAGCGAGCACAATAATACCAATTATACAGGACTACGTGCAGCCGGGCACCACGGTATATACGGATGATTAGAGAGCTTATAGATGCTTTCATAGACTTGGGTATGTCCATCATGTCGTAGTGCATAAATGTCATTTTGTCGACCGTACTACTGGCGTTCATACTAACAACATTGAAGTCATGTGGTCGAGATTGAAAGAATTTTTAAGAGCGTACCACGGCTCTAGAGGACGACTATTATGAAGCCATATGGACGAGTTCCTATATCGTATGCATTATGATTTCAGAACATCTGAACCTTTATCAAACCTTAACAAGTTTTTAAATCACGTCAAAGAAGAATATCCACTGTAGTTCATTAGTTTCTTATAATATATTTTTACTTTATAATAACTGTCTTCTGATTGGCTAATAATTGTCAAGGTCATTTAAGATTCGTTCAAGGTTCGTCCATAAATAAGAGTCTCGTCGATTCGACTTATTCGGAACAGAACGAAGGATCAAGGATTCAGAGACTCCGATAGGCTATTCTGATCCGTTGTCCCCGACTCGGCGAACTCGATCAAGAAGTCTTGGTAAGAAGTAGAAGTGTATTCTACAGGCAACCAACAGATACCAGGTCAGGTCAATCAGGCACATAAATCAAGCGTATTTATACAAATATCTATAATCGATATTGTCATGGTAAAAATTTTTAAGAAATTTGTCAATAACTTCAGTGGTTAAGATCGTGAGTCAGTTGAAGCTAGACCACCATGGAAAACCTGGAAGCATTGGACGGCCGTTGAAGTTAGACATTAGCACCGTTGGATTCCGGCTCAGTGGTCTAGTGGTTAAGTGCTCGCGTGCGAGACTAGTAGGTCCTGGCTTCGAATCCCGCAGGGGGAGAGGTCGTGGATGCGCATTGCTGAGTAGTCCCACAATAGGACGAAACGGCCGTCCAGTGCTTCCAGATTTTCTATGGTGGTCTAGCTTCAACTGACTCACGATCTTAACCATTGAAATCACTACAATCTCCACAAAACCCATCCGATATTAATCAATAAGTTCATCAATTGACTACCATTCAAATATTTAATCAATAAGATAAAATCACAAAATATGAGTTTTGGGGATCTACCATCCCTAACAGAGCTGCTCACTAAGTCTCATACCAGAAATAAAACAAAGCTCAGTATTTTCTAGTTCCTACTAATTATCTATCTATACTTATCAACATTTTAATATGAGCTTAGGCTTAAGATGTTTACATACTGCAACTGAATGTGTTAACAATAAGTTTTATTGTTTGTTATTGTCAAAGAAAGGTGTAACCGATAAAGTTATATCAATCAAAGTTACTTTGTTATAAAGCTTGAATCCTGGATGGAGTTTTGTTGGATGAGAATAAAGATTTCAATAACTTGAACTATAATTCACATAAGATAAACATACTATTCAACACTTTACCCCCTCGGGATAACATCCTGGTGTTAACTGGTATGACAATCAGAATACAACTGAATATAATACATTCAAACAAATTCCAAATAGGATAAAACACATATTCAATACTTTACTGTCAATAAGCAGCTATATGTATAACCAACTTATAAAATATTGACAACAATTTGTCATTTATTCAACAATTTCATAAAGTCCAATTTTCAATAAACATCTTATTATCAGAAAGGGTTTTTAGTAGAGATTGTAGTAATTTCAACAGCTGAGATCATGAATCAATTGAAGCTAGATCATCATGGAAAACTTGTAAGCACTGGGACTCCTCAGCAGTGCTTATCCATGGGCGGGATTCAAACCCAGGACTTATCAGTCCCGCGCACGAGCGCCTAACCACTAGACCACTGAACCGGATCGTATCCAACGGTGTTAATGTCTAGCTTCAACTAATCCACGAAATTGAGCGACACATTCACCATTGTCTTCAGTGAGTTATTATCTCACAACAGATCTGGTTGAACTCCACTGGTCACTACTTCTCACTAGAACTCCAGGATATACCTCTTGAAGGCAGTCACTAGTGAACTTATGTTGATTAGTATCAGAAGGGGTTTTTTGTGGAGATTGTAGTAATTTCAATAGTTAAGATCATGAGTTAACTTAAGCTAGACCACATTGAAAAAGTGGAAGCAGTGGGATGGCTGTATTTTCAAATTGTGGGAGTTCTCAGAGTTCGGGTGCACGACCGATAGGTACTGGATTCGAATCTCGCGGGGCAGGATCGTTGAGGCACACTGCTGGGAAGTCCCATAATGGGACGAAACGGTCGCTTAGTTCTCACAGGTTTTCTATGATGGTCTACCTTCAATTGATTCATAAACTCAACTATTAAAATTAATAGTTTATTTTATCACGTAACTAACCTTTTCGATGGCTGATAATCATTCATTGTCATTTTGTTCACTGACTTCGAACGAATCACTGGACTATAATGAACAGTTGATAAGTTTGAATTAGCTTTAGAATTTTGAGATATTGATCGCATTTGATAATGCTGTTTTGATTGAACTGTTTTGGCTTGTGTTGTTATGGTTGCTCCTGTCGAAGATGTTATCGTCGGTGGTAGTGATAATGATGCTGATCGATTAAATACATCATAATTATCGTCATTCACGTTGTCATTAAAATCATAATCATTAGTATTACCATTAATCTGATGACTATCGTGTAATTGATTGGCATTATTATTGAACCCAGTCATATTACAATTCGTATTATTATTAATGCCATTAGCTAATGACATTGATGTTAATTTTGGTGTTAAAATTGCCACTTTATCATGATGATCATTGATTGAATGATTTTGTGGTTCTTTATGTAATAGATTCACTTGTACACATACTACATGATTTTTTTTATTAGACTTGGCGTTGTTGTTGTTGTTGTTGCTGTTATCGTCGCAATGACCCTGAGGAGTGTTCTTTTGATCCGATTGTTGCTGCTGTTGCTCCTGATGTTGATGATGATGCTGAAGATCTTGTTTCTTAATTATTGTTGTTTGATGATTTGAAGATGGATGATGATTAGTAGTAGATTGTTTTTTATTATGTGAATATGTTGAGTAAGGAATAGGTTGGGGAATCCCAGTGATGATATTTTTTCTTTCAGTAGAATCCGTTTTGTTAATACCATTCTGAACCATGATTGTTGTTGTTGTGTTAGTTTTCTTAGAACTGATCATCTACGGTGTTGATGTCAGTGATGGAGAGAAAATAAGCACATGAATTTAAAAGCGAACCAAATAAGTAACAGAATCGAGTTAAATATTCTACACATTATGAAAAATTCATTTCGTGAAAAAGATGACATCAAGTGCTATTACAAACATGATGGTAATTTTCACTTCCAGATTGTTCAAACCTTCGAGGATACTTCATCTTAAGTGCCATTCAAAAGAAATTGACTTCCATATGATCTTAAAGAACTGGAGGAGTGACCATAGAGCACAGGAGACAACTGTTTGAGTCAAGTCACATACGATCTTTATGTAAGTAGCTTTAAATGCAATATCTCTGAAATCTTTAACTGTTACCATCGACAATGGATATGTGTGGGGCAAGATAAGATGTGTTGCTTTAAAATCAACCTCCGCTAGCTTCTTAATTACATTGCTGAAAGACAAAATCGTCGGGAATGCTGGTTGTCTTAAGGGCACACCTGATTGCTGTCAAGTTACAGTACAGTCGGCTCTAAAACCTATTCATCAAAGTTTGTGTTTACTGTATTCAGTTTGACATTCAAACTACATAGGATGATAAAGCCTACCAAACGGATGTTCCATCCAATAAATCTTGGTACTTATACCATATCTTATGTTCATTATGGCTGAGTGATTTACTAATCTAAATGTATAATTCATAAAATTCAGACCTTAAGAATATTGATCTCGAACAACAAAATCTTCATTGATAGCTGATATTGAATAAAAACGCACCATGAAAACCATTAATACTCGATAACTAACTGCTATGTCTCATGTATGTGTACTTCAGAAAAGTACATTACTCAGATTGGAAAAGTTATAGAATCCTAAATCTTACACTTATATGATGAGTAGAATATTGTTTCACCCCTACCCCTCTCATTAAGCTGTAACCAACTGAACCACAGTTTTTTATAACTTTAATCAATTCAGAGTCGCCAATGAGAAGACAGAAAACAAATGAGAAGGAATGCTATTTCAAAACAGTGTCAAATATGAGGATATGGAGCATCAGGCGTCAGCTGGATGTACCATGAAGTTTAATTCACTTGATATTGTTTTGTTTGAATCTTCCCATTGATGTTTTTGGACTGAAATTGATCAGTCTCTTATTGGCATATGTGCATACTGTGCGTATGCCTCGATATTGCCTTAATTTACAAGCATTATAAGCAAAGATGGATAGTGGCTAGCAGTGGAATCCAGGACGCGCGTTTCGTCCTGTTTGGGACTCGTCAGCTGGATGTACCTGCATCTGAGTTGATGTTCACTCTGGGACTCGAACCCAGTACGAAATATGGTACAAAACTATCAAGTATTTATAGTCTTGTTTTCTGTAAAAATCAAATCATCATTATAGTCATCTAATCCGCATACAGGAGAAGTTATAAGTAGAGACTCCGGAATATTCTTCCAAAAGATGATTGGATAGAATATTTTCGGCTTTTTCTCAACTTTTTAGAACTTCCTCAAGTTCACCCGTTAACTGTCTTCACAGCACTAATGATTAATTTCCGTTAAAATGTTTAATATTCACCATAACAGTATTTACCGTAAACGTAAAAACTATCTAAGCTTGTTTGAATATTCATCAATGTTAGATGGTACAGTTTGACAAAAATTGGGCACTGAGAGTATAGTGAAGTCATTATATCGGAAAACTATATATGAAACAATCTGATTGGTTGAAATGTAGGATAATTTCAGTATTTCGTCAAGTAAACTTGTCTAAACTTCTTCAGGGTAGTGATCAAAATCAAAATTATACTGTATTAATTCAATCATATTTAGATGTTGACTTTAGCAAATAGGATAACATGAGCTAGTTAAATGTGAATTATGTGAATAGTTCACAATGTGGAAATAAATGAATGAATGAATTGCGTATATATATATAGATATATAAGGGTGAGTTATTAATATTCACTTGGTGTTGTTTTACTTGTATCTTCCCACTGTTATTCAGGACTGCAATTGATCAGTCTCATGTTGGCATATGTGCATCCTATGCGAATTGCCTCGATATAACCTTAAGTCACAAACTTTTTGAACAAAAATGGGTAGTGGCTAACAGTGGAATCCAGGACGTACGTTTTGTCCTATTTGGGACTCTTCAGCCGGATGTACCTACATCCCAGAGTTCATTTTCACTATGGGACTCAAACACGGTACCATTCGCTTCAAACATTAACGCGTTATTCACTTACCTACTGAGTTTTGATGGCCAACTGCTTGTGCAATGAGGAATATCAGGTATCAATATGTGCAAGGCAGAAAAATTCTTTCTGAATCATTGATATACATGTCAAATGAGAATTGCCCGTTACATAATTGTATTGCTAAAATAACCCACAACAACATAACGATGTATATGATATAAGTAGGTTGAATGAGGAATGGGTCCAAATGTTCGTTAACGAATATTTACCTTCTGGTTGCTAGTTGAATACCATCCTTACGGTTCAGGATGTTCTTGTTCGCCCATATATATATGCAGTGCTTCTGCTCTTTGTGAATCTAACTTTAACTTTCAGTAATGCTGATCTTAAAGCTAGCCCCCCAAACGCCTTGGTACGGCCGAGAGTGAGAAGAGTTCGCTCTCCATCACGAAATGCTCTCACATGGCCACGCGTATATAGAATCTGCCTGGAAAGTCCTACTCACTGCCTTCTCGCACCACGGGTGTTGTTTACGAAAATGAAAGGACGAAAAGCGAATGTCTAGCGCTTTAACCGGATTCCAAACCAATGGTGTACATGGGCTCCAGTATCCTGAAGGAACAAATGGCGTATGAACCAATCGTTGGTCACCGACTTCCATGTGACTGGATCTCCTTACGATGCTCCACTGCCTTATGGATCAGACGTTTAGGTCGGTTGTAATCAATTTGTCGAGACTATAATTTATGGACGAACCAATCAGGTATAAAATAATAGGTCTAGGGTTTCGGCACGAAATTCATTCATCCATTTGACTATATAATGTGTTATTATTTTAGTTGATGTCAGTTCGTGATAAAACCCCAAATCTAATTCCTAACCCCTAACCATCAACTGTAAATCATAATTCCGATTCTTCACACTGGTTTATAATTATCATTTAGCTCTAGTTAGTAGGTAGACATTCTCAAGATCACTTCAGCGTCAATCAAAGGTTATCCATAAATTATAGTCTCACTGATAATCTTTAAAAGTACATCAATATCTTTTGAATATCACTTACTTGATATAAACGATCACGATATTCAGAAACAGTTAACTGAATATTGTCATCTAACGGTGGAGTGACATGATGATTCATGATCATTATTTCATTTGGGGAGTAAAATCTTTGAAATGATACCGAAAGATAAAGAGAAAGAAAAAAAGAAAAATCAAATAAAAATGACATAAATACAACTTAAGATTACATAATATTATAGTGTAGGGTCAGGGAAATGTCACTGAGCCCTAGAAAAAACAGCCAGCAGTTGGGTCATTGAATATCGAATAGATCATCGATCCCTGTCAAAGTCAAGAACAACCAACACACATCAGTTAATCGTATGCCATGGACTGGTCCATGAGGTGGTAGTCTCACTTATTCGAGTAGGCTTTCAATCATACGACATAGATCATCTACATTGATGGTTCACAATGTTAGGTATTCATTAACTGTTGAGTGGGCTTCCGGAGAACTTCGACGGAGCCTTCAGAGGCCCAAAAGGAGCCGAAGGATCCTAGCCAATCAGAGTACGATGGAACATTCGAGAATTCCAGTGTGGCGTGCTATTATTGGTCGGTAGCATAATATGATGTTAACGGATTGGCTGACAATATGATGTTGATTTAACAGACACCAACATCTATAAATACCCTTGATTTTCTGTACAAAAATGAACCTTGGGATAAATATTTTCTCTCATACTTGTGTCTTCTCTCTGAAGTTCAAGTCGCTGTGTAGTTCTAGACTGCGGGTTACCGAAATAGCTTAGGAATCGTATATAGCGTTTCATCGACGAGACGTATCATTAACGAAACTTATCTGAAATAATCTGAGTTGGTGTTAAGTTATAGGTTTTTTTTAAGTAGTCTAATGAAACAACCATTATTTCTGTAGCAATTAGTATTCTGTTTACTTGCCTGCGTGATTTATCCTAGTCAGTTAGCTACAAAGTAGGACCAGGCACATACCTCTAATAGCACTCAAGATCATTGATTTATCCTGACCTACAAACAGTTGAATTATTCTAATCCTTCCAATCATTCTGTCATTTGTGCATGTGAATTTACATACGTGTATATGATGGTATGTATGTATTTATTTACTTACTAGTATATCATTTATGCGAAGAAATACTGAGTCACTCATTATTCATCGACTGTTCATCTTTGCCTCTTCCACTTCCTAACTCTTTTCATCTGTTTGTATTAATGGAAGTACCGAGTATATACATCCCAAAACCTTCTTGTATTTGACTTGTTTTATTCAATTATTCGCTAACGAAATTATGTTTATGAAAATATCCAAGGTTAATTCAGAAACCATATTTCATAATTCCTCATCTATATCAAATGGGATCGACAGTAGTTAGTAAAACTCTATTAAAGTTAACTATACATATGATCCATTTGTGAATGAGATTGAAAGTCAGTCAGTCAGTCAGTCAGTCAGTCAGTCAGTCAGTCAGTCAGAAACAACGTAGAACTTTGTACGTACGTACATCAGTTCAAGTTGCCACACCACGTTAGCACAGAGATGCAGTTGTCGATTCAAATCCCGTACTGGTAGAGGCGGTAAGAATATAAGCAGTAATCGGAAAGGTTAGGGTTTGAAGATGTTATTTAAAGGGTATAATCCAGTGAAATAAATTTGGAAAGAGAAAAAAAGAGACAAGGAGGATTCAGGAGATTAGAATTTGGGAGAACACATTCTTTGTTGAACCCAGAATTTTTGGTGATTTTTCTGTTCAGTTAGTGAATGAGTACTATACATTAGAGAGCAATTTCTAGCCTCTGGAATCATCGGCAACAGTCTGTTATGAAGAAGTTAGTTTAAAGCAGTCTAACATACCATATGAAAAGTTCAAGTATAATAACAATTAGGAGTTTAAATTAAATTCCAAATGAAAATTAGACAATCATAGAGTACTCACAAGTAGGACAGAAAGATGATCAAAGTTAGTGAATAAGACAAGTCTACAAATAACCTTAGACCCAATTTAGTAAGGGAAAAAATAATAATGATTCTTATCCCGTCTAATGTTCCTCGTTACTATCGAGTGGTAGATTAGTAGTCAAAGAGGTTTGAACTCCATTCCAATAAGATTTGGACATAATGTCAACATCAAGACACATTCTTCTGACGAATCTCAGATTAGACGAAACACGTCATTAGTCAGTTTTCGTTCTTTTTTTAAAAAAAAATTGGATAGAAAGTACCTACCTGCGAACATATGGATGTTTTAAAGCTTCCAATGCTGTGATACGTTTATGTGGATTGAAATGTAACATTTTATACAAAAGATCAGTTGCTGTCTTATCAACATTTATTAATAATTGATCTAATGAACGGCGATTTCTAATTGAATGAAATAAAGAATAAAAACAATCAAATGTGTAATAGACATCAAAACAAAAGGCAAATTACGATAATCACTTTACCAATTTATATAAACCTTCTCTACAAACCATTTCAGAAGATGCCACCAAATACTCTGTTATGGCCAACAATGGAGAGAGTCAGTTCTCCATCTCGAAATGCTCTCACATGACCACGCGTATACAGTTACTGTCAGGAAAGTCCTACTCATCGCCTTCTCGTAGCGGGTGTGTTGTTTACGCAATTGAGAGGACAAAAAACGAATGTCTGGCGCACCAACCGGGTTAGTGGATACGGAGGATCCACCTAGAGGAGTTGGAAGACCCTGATTCCAAACCACTGGTGCACATGGACTCCAGCATCCTAAAAGAATAAATGGCGTACGAACCAATCGTTGGTCAATGGATACCATGGGACTGTATCTCCTGACTTTGTTTCACCACTTTGTAGTTCAGACCTATAGGTTGAAGGCTCTGGGTGTAGCCACCTGCTTCAGTCTGAACACTCAAGTAGTATCTTAGCCCTAACTAACTGTTTTTTTATAATATGAGACTCTTTAACAGTTCGCATTAACTAAACTAACCATGATTGAATTCAAGATCTTCTGTGTTACTCCACCTCCATACTATTGAACCGACATCTAATAGTGTATATGTTTACTTTCAATCGATTCACAATATTATGCAACCATCTTCTGTCGTTTATGATGAATAATTCTTATATATCTAATCTCCTGGATATACATCTAGTAGTTACCAAAGTGCTACTATATACTACTTATATCTGTCAACATAAATAACCTATACCAATGGCTTAAAACATAGTTCACTAGGAACTGTTTTGAATAACTGTAATACGAATGATTATGATAATAACATTCATAATTATCTATGATATACAACAACACTTTTAACTTTCTATACATAATGTTACTTTATTTCATTTTTTATTTTTTATTTCAATACATAGATATTGGTACAAGGAGGCACCAAATACATATGCGCCACACAAATCTCATTCGATATGTGTGAGGGCTGTGATACTGCTCGGGTGCCCAAACCGAAGCAGGTGGTTTACTTGGGGGGCCACACCCCAAGCCTTCGACCTGAAGGTCTAATCCACAAGGCAGTGGAGCATCGTAAGGAGATCCAGTCAAATGGAAGTCGGTGACCAACGATTGGTTCATACGCCATTTGTTCCTTCAGGATACTGGAGCCCATGTACACCATTGGTTTGGAATCCGGTTAAAGCGCTAGACATTCGCTTTTCGTCCTCTCATTTTCGTAAACAACACCCGTGGTGCGAGAAGGCAGTGAGTAGGACTTTCCTGGCAGATTCTATATACGCGTGGCCATGTGAGAGCATTTCGTGATGGAGAGCGGACTCTTCCCACTCTCGGCAGTACCAGGACATTTGGGGGCACATAATGTTACTAATCAATATTGTCAAGAACAAAATCAAAAGGATATTATCTTAAGGCGAATCACCCTAGAACATTGATAAATACCTATTTATTTACATAGATTTCTGCATAGAAAAAGATTTATAGGTGATATTTATCATTGATTGACCTCAGTTGATGTAACTGTTGAAAGCAGTCAAATGCTAGACAGTTAATTTATCCTAATATGGAACTTCTCACGAAACCTTGCCAGGGATCAAGCTAAGTATTTGCTAAGAGATCCGAAAGTTCTTAATAGTTCAATAATTACATTAATAGCAGACTTTAAAGTTCTAATGTTAATATATAAGTCCACTAGGTGGTTAACATGTTTAATTAAGTAGGTAAAACAAATCATAAACACAAATATTTATTCTACTATTTCTACAAATGAAGAGTAGATGGTTTAGAACTTAAAGCATAACACCATTTGTAATCAAAATGTATAATAGAAAAATTGAAGACGATCTGACTTTTCTATCGCACATGCAACAAAAAATTCAGGAGAAGACGACCAGTATAGCAGCAGTCTCAGCAGAAGTAGATCTCAAAATACACAAAGGGTAAGGCAAGATTCTCTCATACAACACAGAATGCAACAATCGAATCATACTTGATAGAGAAGCTTCGGAAGATGTAAAAACCTTCACATATCTGGGCAGTATCATTGATGAACACTGTCGATCTGATGCAGATATGAAGGCACGAATCGGCAAAGCAAGAGCAGCATATCTCCCATTGAAGTACATATGGAACTCAAAACAAATGTCAACCAACACCAAAGTCACAATTTTCAATACAAATGTCGAGACAGTTGTACAATATGGAGAGGAAACCTGGAGAACTACGAAAACCATCATCAAGAACATACAAGTGTTTGGTAACAGTTGTCTACGCAAAATACTTCAGATCCGTTGACCAGTCACTATTAGCAACAACCTACTGTGTAAGAGAACAAACCAGATTCCAGTGAAGGAAGAAATGAGGAATAAGAAGCGTTGGAAATGGATAGGACACACATTGAGGAGCGCATCGAACTGTATCACAAGGCAAGCTGTCACTTGGAATACTCAAGGCCAAAGGAGGAGTAGTGGAAGACCAAAGGACACATTACGCCGGGAAATGGAGATAGACATGAGTAAAATGAACAAGAACTGGATAGGACTAAAAAAAGGCCCAGGACAGAGTGTGTCGAGAATGCTGGTTGAAGGCCTATGCTTAACTGGGAGTAACAGGCGTAAGTATGTAAGTAATTAAGTCAGATACACAACATTTTAATAATCATCTCTTTTATGTAATTAAAGAAACAAGTAAGAAAACCTCAGAAAAACTGTGTTATTACAAGAGGTCGAAATCATTACACTACAATAACTCTATTTATATTACCCATAAGTGAGTATAACTTTGGGGTAAATATCAAACTAAAAGAGAAAAGAATCAATACGTTTATGGTGAAAATCAGTAGGGTATTATGGAATCGAATAAAAGAATGTTACTGACAGCTTTAATACACGTTAAAACTCAAAAGCTAAGCAAATTTGTAATCTTTCTAACATAATTATAAACTTCGAGTTATTATACATGTTAAGTCTGTTCTACGTTCACTGTCCTTTTTCATTTCCCTTCAGCTCTTTTGTGTATTGTTTTTTATACTACTTATTATTATTCAGTAAATTGTTGTATTTCTAGCAATTTTTACGCTTATGTTGTAACTCATGTTTGTCATGTATTACTCTAAAATATTTACATATACTTATAACATGTATTGCAATTATGATTATAGCAGTTATTCACAATTTTGTGCATTTTTGTTTAACCTTTGTTTAAACGCAATAGTTTCTGTATTTTTTTGACTGAGATCATGAACCGATTGATGTTAGACCACCAATGAAAACCTGGAAGCACTAGACGGCCGTTTCGTCCTATTGTGGTACTCCTCAGCAGTGTGCATCCACGATCCCGCTCAAGGGGTTTGAACACAGGGCGTTCAGTCTCGTGCACGAACGCTTAACGTACTGGACCACCGAGCCGGCATCCAATGGTGTTAATGTCTAACCTCAACCAATCCACGTAGTTGCGCGACCAACTTCCATTGTACTGTGGTAGACACCTGTTTCTACCTGACACGGATTAACTCCACTGGTCATGGCTTCTCACCAGAACTCTGAGAATTTTCTAACAAACCTAGTCACTGGAATCTATATTGTTTTACTCTTGGTTCGGTTTTTGATGGTTGATAAACTATTACCTAGTTTAGACACAGCTAACAGCTGTCGTTTTTGCACTATCGGTGCCTTTTTTTATTTCAGACAAAAAGACTCGGTAAACGTCACATATACCTTACAAGTTGAGGTATGTAACTAATTTAGGTTATACTATTTAATGAAGAATCGCTGTTTTAAACAAATTTTTTGCTTTATGAACATCGATTTCGCGCATATCTCAATGGAGTGATTTGTAGGCTTCGATAAAATTAACATTTATAAATGAATAAATTAGTGGGAATAAAATCATTAATGAATTACCTGATATGTGCTTTTTGTAAAATCGATGAACTGTATGGACTTTTTACACTGGCTAAATCTAAAGATAAATCAAAATATATAGTTTAATGAATGTCATATTTATAATAAAATGTATGTTCCATCTGATTTGGGACTTGTCAATTGGATATTCGAATTGAAGCGCTAGTACATTATAAGCAAAGATGGATGGTGGCTAACAGTGGAATCCAGGATTCGCCTTTCGCCCTATTTAAGGCTCGTCAGCTGGATGTACCTGTATCCTAAATAACAATGGGAAGATACAAGTAAAACAATACCCAGTGAATATAAACTTCACCTGATTGCACAAGCAGGTGACCATTAGGACTCATTAAATAAATGGAGAACGCGGTGGTGTGTGAAGCGAACGGTACCGGGTTCGATCCCTAGCGTGAACATCAACTCTGGATTCCACTGCTAGCCATTACCCATCGTTGTTTAAAAAGCTTGTGAATTAAGGCTTTTTTTGAGGCAATCCGCAGAGGATGTACATATGACAACATGAGACTGACGAATTGAAGTCCTAAATAAGAATGTGAAGAGACAAGTAAAACAACATCAAGTGAATATAAAACTAATACATTATCTTTTAAGCTATTGACTCCAAGTAGTCACTGACTTGTCTGATAGGGTGTTATGTTTATTCTTAAAGACTCAGAGTGAATATCACCATTGAGATCTAGATACGATATTCTAATGATTGGTAATTAACTTTTTGTCAGTCGTTGTTACTAAAATTAGCTATATCAAGGGTAACTCATTCAAGATACAAATACATAGAATATATTCACTGAAACGTATTGTAATGCTTCTGGATTTATTTTATCAAAACTTTTAAATAAAATTTACTTTCAAGTTATTCGAAACTATTTGATAAGTCTTGCTAAGTCAATGCCAGATTCGGTTTCTAAGCTCTTCTAGTAACCACCAGGTATAATCTACACAGCGACTTGAATGTGAAAGAAAAAGCGCGAAATATGGAAGAAAACGCTTTACTACAAATGTTCGTTTATGTACACTAAAATCTAGCGGTTTTATAGTATTTTTGATGTTTTTGGTTTTCCGGAAAATTCTGGAATGCTACTGAACATAGTAGCAGTATAAGTAATCATCTTATCAGACACTCGACATGTGACTTTTCACTTTCTATGTACTTACTTACTTACTTACGCCTGTTACTCCCAATGGAGCATAGGCCGCTGACCAGCATTCTCCAACCCACTCTGTCCTGGGCCTTCTTTTCTAGTTCCATCCAATTCTTGTTCATTTTTCTCATGTCTGTCTCCATTTCTCGGCGTAATGTGTTCTTTGGTCTTCCACTCCTCCTCCTTTGGCCTTGAGGATTCCATGTGAGGGCTTGTCTTGTGACGCAGTTGGGTGCTTTCCTCAATGTGTGTCCTATCCACTTCCATCGCTTCTTCCTGATTTCTTCCTCCGCTGAGATCTGGTTTGTTCTCTCCCACAGTACGTTGTTACTAATAGTTTCCGGCCAATGGATCTGAAGTATTTTGCGTAGACAATTGTTAATAAACACCTGTTTTTTCTGGATGATGGCTTTCGTAGTTCTCCAGGTTTCCGCCCCATACAGTAGAACTGTCTTGACATTTGTATTGAAAATCCTGACCTTGGTGTTGGTTGACAGTTGCTTTGAGTTCCAGATGTTCCTCAGTTGTAAATATGCTGCTCTTGCTTTGGCGATCCGCGCCTTCACATCTGCATCAGATCCACCCTGTTCATCAATGATGCTGACCAAATACGTAAAGATTTTTACATCTTCCAAATCTTCTCCGCCAATTTTGATTGGATTGGTGCATTCTGTGTTGTATCGGAGAATCCTGCTTTTCCCTTTGTGCATATTGAGACCTACGTCTGCTGAGGCTGCTGCCACACTGTTCGTCTTCTCCGGCATCTGCTTTTGCGTTTGAGATAGAAGGGCCAGATCGTCTGTGAAGTCTAGATCATCCAACTGCATCTTAGATGTCCATTGTATCCCGCGCTCACTTTCTATGTAGTTCTGGCAAAACTTCTAATGAACGCTGATTGAATAAAATGCTTCTTAGTGTTTCCAAAGGTTTTCTTGGCTTTTTCTCAAAGAGTTTTCTGGATCTCTTCAAAATTATTACATGATACTTCAACATAAAAATCTTCAACCAAAATAAGCATAAATTAAAAACCAATTTGTTTAAATTGCTTACCTTCTGGACTAGGCTTAGGTAATCCACCCATAATACGTTCTATTTGATCTAATGTTGATGTACCAGGAAATAATGGTGTACCAATTAACATTTCACCTAATATACAACCTAAACTCCATATATCAACACCTTTTGTATAATCATGACATGCTAATAGAATTTCTGGTGCACGATACCAACGTGTTGCTACATATTCAGTTAATGCAGGTAATAATGTTTTACAATTGATTTTACCATTACCATTATCATATTTCATATTACGACCTTTTAATGAACGTGCTAAACCAAAATCACATAATTTTACTAAACAATCAGAATCCAATAGAACATTTGATGGCTGAAAATTTGTTTAGAACAAAAATACATAAATTAGTGAATTGAAAAAGAGAAAACTGAGAAGAAGACCATAAAAATGGTTAAAATTGGACATTTAGTAGATGGGTAATATAATAGTTAGTAACATACAACACTAGTATTACTACGGTAGTGAACAAGAACGTAAATGAGGGAAATCGATATTAATAACGTTGGATGCCGGATTAGTGGTCTAGAGTATAAGCGAATCCGATAGGTCCTGTGTTCGAATCTCGATAGGCGAGATCGTGGATGCACATTGCTGAGAAGTCGCACAATAGGACAAATCAGCACACACCATACCATCAATTCATTAGATCAGTTTATCGTGAAATAATTACATTAATTTATTTACATAGATAAACTTAGTTGAAAGTATCGTCAAAGACATGAAGATGTAAGATCCATACTATAGATAAGATTGTGCAATGGCTTATCAATGTTTAATAATTATTCAGTTTATCTGTTTTTAATCAAGTCCATGGAATTCTTAAAGAACTTTTCAACGATGTCATATCTGGAGCATTCATAGAAATACTAACATTTGTTAGTTTAGGTTGATATAATGAAAGGATCAATGTTAGACTACCAATGAAAACCTTGAAGCACTGGATGTCCATTTCGTCCAAGTATGGGAATACTCTGCAGTGCACACCTACGACCACACACACTGGACTCCAACCCAAAACCATCGGTCTCACGCGCAAGCGCTTAACTTCTAGACCACTGAGCCGGCTTACTTACTTACGCCTGTTACTCCTCGTCGAGGAGCATAGGCCACCCACCAGCACTCACCATCCAACCTTGTCCTGGACAATCCTTCCCAGCTCTTTCCAGTTGTTATTCATTGTATTCATATCTGCTTCTATTTATCGACGTAATGTGTTCTTTGACCTTCCTCTTCCCCCCTTCCCTTCAAGATTCCAAGTTAGCACTTGTCTCGTGATACAGTTTGGTGATTTCCGTAATGTATGTCCTATCCATTTCCATTGTCTTTTCCTAATTTCTTCTTCAGCTGGAAGCTGGTTTGTTCTCTCCAACAGTAGGCTGTTACTAACTTTATCCGGCCAATGAATGTTGAGTACTTTTCGTACACAACTATTTATAAATACTTGAACCTTCTCGATGATAGTTGTAGTAGTCTTCCAAGTTTCAGGTGCATACAGTAGAACTGTCTTGACGTTCGTATTGAAGATTGTGACTTTGTTATTGATTGGCAGACAGTTGTTTTGAGTTCCTTGTGTTATTCAATTGTAGGAATGCTGCCTTTGCTTATCCAATCCTCGCCTTTACGTCTGTATTAGATCCTCCTTGTTTATCGATGATGCTTCCCAGGTACGTGATGAATTCCACATCTTCCAGAGTCTCACCACCACACTGAGTCAGTATGGCTTCATTTTTAAACACTTAAAACACCTTCGTCATCATCATCATGTGTGATCAGATCACGTTTAACTATTGTTCCATTTCAAATGAGTTGTTGAACTCAAAAGTCAAGTTAGTTTTTTTATAAATTACAAACACTCGAAAGTTCATAAAAAGTTACCAGCATTTATTCAATGGATAAAGAATCAATTTTAACCAATCAGTAAATGGTTCAGACTTAGTGCGATACTCTTCCATTTACTGAACTATACGGTATGATTAGCTTTCATTGACAGTATACTTTGACTCAAAATCAACTATATGATATTGTTCTATGTAAATGAATAATATATATATATAAACTAAATTCAATCACCTCCAAGTTTAGTGGACCCTCTATTTTTATTAATTTCAAACTCAATATCTGCAATCAATATCTATTGCTGACTATCACCTGTATAACTTTAGATACTCAGATACTTCTAGAAACCATGTGAACTTCTTCTATTTTATCAAATCACTTAAGATATGAAGCAGAATACTAGAATTAACCGTTACTAAAAACTATGGATTATAAATTCTGATGGATATTGCAGTTTTAAAAACATCAAGAAAACGCTTTATGTTCAAATATTTCAAATATTTGTTTCACACTACTTATGAGTAGTTAAACTAATTAAACAAAATATACTCACCTTTTGGTCTCGATGTATTACTTCACCTGAATGTAAATAAGCTGTTGCTTTCAATAATTGATACATGATATATTGTTTATGTACATCATTTAATATATTGCCTTTTTTAATTACATTATGCAAATCTGTTTCTTTAATAAAGATATATATATGTGGAATAATAAAAACAATATCTTACCCATAAATTCAAATACTAAGTAGATATCTTTATCACTACTTGCACGTATTACATTATATAACCGTACAATATTTGGATGATTACCGAAATTTTGAAGAAATGCAATCTCTCTGAATGTTCTCTATGAATAAAGAAGATGAAAGGAGATAAAATGGGGGTGGGGGGGGAATAAAGGAAATACACTTCAGTTAACAATATACTATATTCCTCTAGCCTACCTGTGCATCAGTTTGATTGCGAAATGCATCGAAGATTTTTTTCAATGCAATAATTTCTTTTGTTTTTTTATTCAATGCTTTCCAAACTATTCCATAAGCCTGAAATATGAAGGAAAAAATCAAACGATTAAATGTAACAGCTATATTTTTTAGAATATTTTGTTTCCAAGGAATGAATACAAACATGGTGGATTAGTGATGGCATTGATTCACGAAGTGCTTATTCATATATTCGATCTTAAAACATACTTATCATGAAATAACTATTGACATTATCCCACTATTAGGTCAAGTACAAGTTGAATGGGATTTGAATCTTAGACATTGTAGCCGAAAATTGCACGCTCTAACTACTAAGCTGTTGCATTAGAAATTAATATAACTAATAACCAGTTATATGTAATCACTAAGGTACGTTCAACCCTCAGCATAAAAAAACAATGACAAATTAGGTGTATAAGATTGATAATAATAATCATTTTTATGATATCTTATTACAATGTAACTATTACTGAATAGCTAAAAGTACGGAGCTGAAACTTGGAGAATTACAACAACTATCATCAAGAAGGTACAAGTATTTATAAATAGTTGTGTACGAAAGGTACTCAACATCCATTGACCGGATATCATCAGCAACAGCCTTTTGTGTGAGAGAACAAACCAGCTTCCACCTGAAAAGGAAATTAGGAAAAAACGATGGAAATGGATAGGACATACATTACGGAAATCACCAAACTGTATCACGAGACAAGTGCTAACTTGGAATCTTGAAGGGAAGGGGGGAAGAGGAAGGTTAAGGAACACATTACGTCGACAAATAGAAGCAGATATGGAAAGAATGAATAACAACTGGAAAGAGCTGGGAAAGACTGCTTAGGACAGAGTTGGATGGTGAGTGCTGGTGGGTGGCCTATGCTCCTCGACGAGGAGTAACAGGCGTAAGTAAGTAAGTAAAAGTGGTATCCAGAAATTCATGGATTTGATTTCTTAATTAGTTACTACTAATTAAAAGCTTATTTGTAGCGCATTAAAACGAACTCATTCTTTATATATCTATGTTTACTAGTCTTAGATTTATGTGACTTTCCACTAAATCAAATCTACCTCTCTTGATATTGTTTACTTGAATCTTACCATTGAGATTTATGATTGCAACTGATCAGTCTCATATTGGCATATATGCATCCTGTGCGTATTGCCTCGATATTGCCTTAAGTCACAAGCATTCTAAGCAAAGATGGATAGTGGTTAGTAGTAGAATCCAGGATGCGCGTTTCGTTTTATTTACGACTGGTCAACTGTATGTACCGGAATCTCAGAGTTGATATTCACTCCGGGACTCGAACTCAGTACTATTCGCTTCAAATACCGTCGCGTTATCCACTTAGCTACTGAGTCCTTATAGCCAACTGCCCGTGCAATTGAGTGAATTTTTAAATTCACTTGATATTGTTTGTTTGAATCTTTCCATTAATGTTTAGAATTCCAGTACTAGACACTGGGACTCGAACTTAATACTGTTCGCTTCATATGCCATCACGTTATCCACTCAGCTACTAAGTCCTGATAGTTACTTGCTTGTGTGATAAGGTAAATTTAAATTCAAAGTGAACATCAACTCTGAGATATAAGTACATCTAGCTATAGAGTTCCAAATAGAACGAAACGTTAGTACTGGCTTCCACTACTAGCCACTTTCCATCTTTGCTTATAAAGGTTTTGAATTTAGGCAATATTGAGGCAAATCTACTTCTTATTAGATATTGTATCTAATTAATTAATTATTAGCTGCATAGTAACAAATAACTTATTTTATCAATGGTAATTGTAAATTTGATTTATGATTCTCTTTTAATGTTGACACTAAAAGAATAGAATATTCATTGTTCTCTATTAATTCATTGATGTACTTAAACACAGTTTGTGATAAATAGGTTCTATTTGAATGCTTTGTAATAGAGTTTGAAAGTTATCTCATCTATAGTAATAAGATTTATTCTATATAGGCAATAGATATTATGATTATAGATAGGTGAAACTCTACTATTCATATCCATAGTATTATTAAATTTATTTTGTATTTATAACTTTAACAGACTGTTCTCATCTTACTTTAAATGTGATTCTAGGCATGAGTCTATGGATTATATGTGAGTTATAATCCTCTGTCAGTAGAGTCCTAGGTAAACACTGTCTGTCAGTCAGTTAATCTGTAACAACGCGGAACTTTTCACGTACGTACGTACATCAGTTCTAGTTGCCACACCACATTAACATAGAGATACAATTGTCGATTCAAATCCCATTGTGGTAGAGGTAGTAAAAGTATAAGCAGTAATCGGAAACATTAGGGTTTGAAGATGTTGTTCAAGGTGTATAATCCAGTGAAATAAATTTGGAAAGAGAAAAAAAGGGACACGAAGATTTCAGAAGATTAGAATTTGAGAGAACACAAAGAATGGATGCACTTGCGCCATTGCAAACGATTTTGAGCCATGTCATTCAAGGTCTCTAACCATCGGTTGCTATCATCTCGCGGTCCCCAACCAGATAGTCTACACCTACCAACACGGCTCAGTCCACTTGTTAATGACTTCATGTATTTGTGTCATGTTTTGATCTGGCCGCCACTAGATTTCTTTCAATCTACTCCTATACCACTGAACATCGCATGTCGTGGCAGTCGGTAGTTAGACATACGTAACACGTATCCCAGCCATCTCAACTGATGAAATTTCACTACTTCATCACTGTAAAAGAATTCCGTTCTAGAACAAAACAGGTATCCATTGATACCATAGTTGTGGAATTAGTAAAAGTATCACTACAGTAGGTAAGGTTAGGCATATACAATATAGTTTGAGCAGGAATACTGAAATCGTGAAATAAAATAATATAGATCCATTTAGAAACTCAAGATTTAAATGAAAACAAAGAATGAGTATATCTGCTTGTTTTATTATCGATTCTGAAGAATATTAATCAATATTTCCAACTATTGTTCATGGTAATTGTGTGAACCACATACATGTAATCAAACCTGAACGCGGCTCAATCCAACAATAAATGAATGTATTAACAAATGTAATATTGTGGTGTGTGTTACTGATATCGACAGATATAAGTAGTATGTATTATCAGTAGAAAGTGAAATGCCTAATGGCAGAAGGTCAAAAAGATCAAAGAATAGAGAACTATAGAATAGTGAATGATTGGTGTGGAAACGAAGGAACAATGAAGTTTGAGATAATTGATTGACATTTTGCAAATGATGTATTTATGTTATGTGTTGTTACTTTATGACCTGCCTTTTATCACGTAATGTATTCGTCAGTCGAAATACAACTTATTCACTCTTGTACTGTAATAAGCCAATGACGTTTGACCGATCTGATCGACCAATAGTCCTTATTGGTCCTCTGCTCGTCCAGAACACTAATAACAGTTTCCGCTATACGAATCATTTATTTCCAACATACTTGGTTTATATACCAACCAAACAGATCGCATCGTACCATGAAATAGGAAGTAACATTCATACAAGATGAAGCCCAATAGCGGTTGTGAACGTGGGAGACGATAATAACCTAACAACGGTAAACCGTATCATAATAATCTATGTGTCACAATGAAGCTCATAATAAGGGAGAATATAGATATAAATAATCTAATTACTGAATAGTTATACCATAAGAATAGATAGATAATATTAGTTCATTAACAGATCTCGAAAGTTACTCAGAATTTACTCTTCACTTGAATATAACAGTATGATTCTTAAATTTTGCTAGATGATTCTATAATTTTATATATTCAAATACATTTGACTATCCTCATTAGTATTCTCATTCACTACAATTTCACTTAAAACACAATCTAATCTATTTAAGAATGATCTTTTCCTTCAATGAATTGTCTTCATAAAATAATAATCATAATCATTTTATAGATTTCCAATGAGTAGTTTTGAAACTTCTTCGGATACTTCCATAAAGTATAACATCAATTTCAATATAGAAATGTAATACAACCATTGTGAACCATTGTGAAGAAAGTAATCTCATAAACTGTGTTTCATATAGAAAACTCTAATTTTATAATGCAGAATATCATCAACAATACAAAGGAGGTATATGGTCTGATGATGAATAAAATCAAATAGATCTAGAATGATCTATTCTACAGTTTGTAGTTAGTCATTATCATACAGTTTAGAATTGGAGTACTGAATATCATTTATAAGATTGAATTTAATCTACCTCTACATGCTCAATACATAATTATCAGTGATAGGCAAAATATAAAGTAAGATTCAATTATACAAAAACAGTTTATGAGATCACTTTTATTTTCATGGTTCTGATTTCTGTAACGAATAGAGCTAATCCGTGTCGAGTAAAGACAGGTATCATATACCTCAGTACAATGGAAGATTATAACACAATTTCGTGGATTGGTTGAGGTTAGACATTAACGTCGTTGGATGCCGGACATCAATCAGTCAGTCAGCTACAACGTAGGACTAGGCACACACATGCATCGGTCCAAGTTGCCATACCGCATTAGCACAGCAAGACGAACACCGGGTTCGTAGAAGCAGTTAATTCAATAATGGAAATATATGAAAGATTTTATGTAAGGATATAGTAAAGTAAGGAAGAGATAGTTCGTAGAAAGAAAGATATGAAGCGATTTTAATCTCATAGTTTAAGGGAGGATAAAGAGTGTATACAGCTACGCGATTGTGATCGATTGTGAGCCATGTCACCCAGAATCTCTATCCATTGATTACGATAGTCAAGTGGACCCGAACCAGATAGTCTGCATCTACCAACATGGCTAAGACTAGAAATTAGTGACTTCAAGGACTGATGCCACGTTTTGGTTTGGTATCTGATCAGCCCAAATTGGTTGATGTCTGACAAAATCTTAGCACGGATTCGAAATGCACGTTTGGTTTTTGCCAACTTACATCACCTATGGCGAAAGCGAGACATCCGTCTACAAATAAAGAAAGAGCATACTGCGCTGCAGTTAGTTCTGTTCTACTTTACGGCTGCAATGCGTAGCAATCAAGAGTAAAAGATACTCGTAAG